CAAAGCTCATGGTGTCAACACTTCTACGATGATTACTTTCGTGTTACTAATGGTTTAACGATTGGCTTTGAAAATCCTAAAAGCACACACCTCCCTCTTGAGCATTAATAATTTCACAATCATGTTTAAACAATATGGGATTTCCTCTTTGTGTGGAGTGAGTTAAGTCTTTCCTGTGTCTAAACAGGTGCAGCAATGCTCAGCCCCATTGCTACAATTTGAATGTTTTCCCCTCCAAAGCTGAGGTTGAAATTTACTATTTCTTGTGAAGATAGTATGATGTGAGATCTCTAAGAGATGTTTAGGCCTTCAGGATCCCCCCTCATGAGTGGACCATCATCATGATAACCGTGATAACAGAACTGATTTTCACAGCAGGGTGAGTATTCTCCTTCCTGCTCCTTCTCTCACTCTTTCTGCCCTTTCCCTTGTGGATATTTCCACCATGTCACCACAGAGCATGAAGGTTGATATTTTGATTCTGGACTTCCCATGCTTTAGAACTGTGGGCCAACCACTTTTTACTCATTATAAATTCTTCAATCTCAGCTACTTTGTGAAACTCACCCAAAACACAGTGATACAACCATTTATTGTACAAACTATCCCAGATTAAATAATTAGCTTTCTGGCCACCTGAAGTTTACAAGCTTAGTATCTGTGGTCTTTCTGCCACAAACTTAGCTATTCCCTGTACTTTGATAACATGGACAGATTCCCCAACCTGTGGAGGGGTCCCATGAACGTTCTTATCCTGTATCTTTTCATGTGCAGTTTTTTACTTACCCTCTAACACAACAATCATAGTTCACATTTGAGCTATCCAAAGTTTAAGTACTTAATAACTATAGTTGATCAGTGATACCATATTGGATAGTATAACTCCCTTAAAGTAGCAAAGAATTTCTCTACAGGTAACCACTGCAGTTACCAAGTGAGGCTAAAAGTTAAAAGTTTCCAAGGGAGGCTTACAGTTCGGTCAATTAACTGCCGATTATTTGCTTCTTTATCTAAATTCTCCTGTCTTATATTTTTCCCTCTCATGTAACTAATGAATTCAGCTACTTTATTCAGATATCTTTTTTTTTTTAGAAATTATTTGTAACTCTTTTGCAGTCATCCCTTTTATATATTCTGACTGAGTTATGCTTCCTTATGGCAGAAAGCATTTTGGTATCTTCATAACACCTGGAAGTACTCTGCTATCCTTCAGGTATATAATTGATTATATTGGATAAAATTGAAGATTTTAAGTTCTTAAAGAAAGAGACTAAGTATTTCATCTTTCTTTTTCAAATTAATCATACCATATGGCTGAAGCTTGAATCTTTTTTATATTAAATAATTAATTTTTTGACAATCTTTACATAATTAGGGTAAAAATGTTCAAGCGCTACAGGAAAATGGGTAAGACAATTAGTTCCATATTGTTTCCTTCATATATCTAAGGTAAAAGGGGATTTTAAGGCAGAAGCCCCACCCAGTCTCCCACCCACCCCAGGTCCCCAGGCATGCTCCAAGGGTCTTGCTCAAGTGATTTAGATAGTTCAACAGTTCTGAATTGCTGCCACTCTCACCACTCCAAGCACGATGAGGTCGTTGAAGAATTCACTGATTGACATAGTCTATCATAGAGTCTCCATCTGCCCAGTTTTTCACTGCCAACATATAGCTGAGGTGGTTGATTGACTTGTTCTGTCCTCTGTCTTTCATGGTTAGGGTTCTGAATCTGGCAGTTCTATTGGGAGATCTCCAAAGAAACCCTGTCAAAGGTGTTCCCAGACCAGATTCTTGTATGTACTAGCAAGTAAAGGGCCCAGCACAGTCCATAGTCCCAATCAGGTGGTGGTTACAATTGCTGGGTTGGCCCTGTCTCCAGCCCTGTCCTCCACTGGAACCAATGGGTGTTGCAGGCCAGCCTGGCTCTTCACAGCACACACTCTGCCCTCACACAAACTAGTGTGAGCTACAACCTAGTAAGAGCAACCCACAATAACCCCCACCAGGTCCGACCTAGAGAAATGGCAATGGAACGAGTGTAGCGGGCAGAACTGAGCAAACCTTAGCCCATAAGTAAAATCAGAAACCAGAATGAAGCACAAAACATGCCCAGCTAGGTTCTTGCATCTACTGGTCTGCGTGAGTCAGGGACACTAAGCCACAGTGTCTCAGGCAGGGGTCGGGACAGGTGACGGGCTGTGCCAAGCTGAGTCAGAGCAACCACTGGCATGCTGAACACTGGCTGGGAACAGGCCAGGTGGGGAGCTAAGGGGACATCCTAGCTGGGTGGAGGTTCCCACTAAGGGGCACATGGGCTGGAATAGGGACTGAGTTCTGATCAGGATACAGTTGTAGTCTCCCGTGGCACAAGTGTGGACTGGTACTGGACGCACCAGATGGGGCCAGAGTGCAACACCTTCTGGTGTTCTGGAGGACCAGGGTAGATGTGGAATGGACTAGGCTAGGTCTCAACTCCTACTGAGCCATGTATGGGCTGTATGTGGGTATGGACTACCCATAGCTGGACTGAAACATCCAACAGCAAGAACCGGAATGGGTTGAAGGCCAGTTAGGAAAAGCCACTGTTTCTGCTAGGACAAGAGGTGAATGGAATAGTGCTGGCTCATGGACACACTGGTATGTGCAAAATCTGACATTGAGTGAGGTTCTGATGGAAGAGCCTGGGCAACTCCTCTGGCAGGACACAGCCCCTGCAGGTAAGTGCAAGAAGCATGAAAGGAAACAGCCCAGAACAGGCTATGGAAATTATCCCACTGGCATACATTTGGCATGGGTTGGGGGCAGACCAGGCTGAATCTGTTCACATCATCCTCTGGCAAATTCAAGCACCAGATTAGAGTGTGGGTCATGCCAGGTTCGGTTGCAACACATACCAGTGCACATTAAGGAATGCCAAGGTGGGGTTGCTTGTACCAAATATGGTTGTAGTGCCCAAACAGCACATGTGAAAACCAGGGGGAGAAGACAAAGCCTACAGGGGAATGTGGGCTTCCTTGCTGGTCAACCACTTTCATTGGAAAGAGTGAGTCGGGATGGGGGCAGACCAGACTAGGCAGGGCTACATCACCTGTGAGCCTCACGTGGACTAGATCAGGGAAAAGCCAGGGTGGGCTGATTATTCCTACTGGTGCAATCTACAATTAGAGTGAGTGAGGGTTGTTGGGGCTTAGCTGCAGCATCAGCTGGCAGAAGCTGGCACTGGGGGCTAATTCTGTTAAGTCAAACCACAGAATCACCTGGAGAGTGCATAATCCAGGAGTGGGAGTAACCTGGGAGGGAAATAGTGGGCTCCTCCCTCTTGGGTTACCACCCCACGGAAGGGCACTAAAACTTGGACAGGGGCTGGAGTGGCTAGACAGAGAGACACCCAACAACATCCGTGAGGGCTGAATAGTTGAGCTGGTTAGATGGAACTAGGTTTTAATATCCATTGAAGCTTGAATCTTAAATCTTGTTAAGTGGCTGAAAGATATATGATTGTATAATTTAGACCCTCCATGATATGTAGTATCTCATCAAAGTAAAGCTGTTCTCTTTTATAAAGAAGTTTTGAAGGTTAGTAAGTTACTTTCCCCCTTAATGTGATTAGATTTACAAAACTAAAACTCAGTTTTCTCAATATCTAGCAGATTCATTGCACACATACATACACACAAATGTGCACAGATTTTCTCTAATTTTACCCTCTCTAGATCTAGTAATAGAATTACTATATTGATATCTATTAATATAATTACTATTTTCTCATTTTACACACATCCTGGTTTCAATTTTTTCTTTGACCAAAATAATTACAACATTTTAAATTGTGAAGATGTAGTGTTACTGAAGACCACTTCCTGGATATGTCAATGATCTTATTTATGCCTAATAAAAGATATTCTTCCTTATTCCAGAATGTTTTTCATTGTCAAGGAAGGTAAGGCAGCAATAAGTTAGATTTCCTCAGAGCTATAATCATCAGCATTCCCTCCTATTATGGAGTGCTAACTTCAGAATTACACAGAAAAGCTGCTGTTCTACCATCCTCACAACGTGAAATTTTCCTTGTCCTTGAAATATACCATAGTTCTCAATCAGCTGGACAAGCTCTCTGCTGGGTGTGGCTTCATTCCAGGGTACTTTCAGCTTCCTTGGAGTTGATCACATGTGTATTTTCCTGGCTACAGGGAACTAAAGGAGTCAAAAACCAAATGGAGACTTCTGTTGTGGGGATGGGACTGCAGCATCTTTCTTGCTGCTGGCTGAAACGTGATTGCCACTGAGTCTAAGAAGCCTGGATTCTTGAAGGAGCTAAATTGGAAAGCAGATGGTCAGAGGAAAGATCGCTAACATCAGAATGGAAAATGTAGTAGGTTGTTCACTTTATAAAATCAATCAGCTAGACCTGATTTGTTGGTCCCATTCTCCACTCCAAAGCGTATTCCATTTGGACTTTCAACTGAAAAATACAGAATCACTTGTTTGTGCTTTGGGTTGTCTGAAGGTCTCAGCATGTGAAATTTGAAAAGCAGCTAGGAAAAACATTTTTTATGATCCAAGTATAGTAACAATACTTGTTTTATCATGAAAGCACTGAGGTTAATACAACATATTGTTTGCTCTATTTTCAAAAGAAATTAAAACACACCAGGAAAGAATAATACGCAAACAAGTACAGAAGGAGTCATTAGAAATCAGAAATCACTTTTATTTTTTATTGAAAATAAGGGACTTCTCCAACCACAGATGTGACAGTCATCAATAAAATCATCCCAGAAAATTAAAATACAATCATCAGAGCAAAGGCTGACATTTGGAAAACAGCGAGATCATACCATGGATCCTGTAGCCATACAGACACTATTTCAGAAATAGGTAGTTGGAACTCAAAAGCTCTATCAAGAATGTAAGTTGTTGGATACAGAAATCTCAAGGCATGGATCGGTGAATTAGCATTATCTTTAGAGGCATTGTGTCAGAAGCAGACGGTTCCAGTTTTAGCAGCAAGAATAGCATCTTCTAAAACAAAATGGTCGGTAGCTATAACAGTTAGTACCATAACCACACCCATAGCCTGAGCCGTATCCACAACCATAGCCTGAGCCATATCCACAGCCATAGCCAGAACCATATCCACAGCCATAGCCAGAACCATATCCACAGCCATAGCCTGAGCCGTATCCACAGCCATAGCCAGAACCATATCCACAACCATAGCCACAGCCATAGTCTGAGCCACAGCCATAGCCTGAGCCATAGCCACAGCCGTAGCCAGAGCCACAGCCATAGCCTGAGCCATAGCCACAGCCATAGCCACAGGAGTTGCTGTAGTAGTTGCAGCACATGTTGTCAGGAGGAGAGAGTTCAAGTGAATTGCAAGAAGATGTTGCTGAAGTATGATGTCTCCTCCTTCCCAAGAACCTTTATATACCATCAGTAATTGCCAGAGCATGCCATTCATTCCTGACTTGGCCAACAGATATTCAAACAGTTGTTGTCACTGTTGACCAGCAATATTGTTTGGTTTAAAATGAGCCCATCATTTGGATGACCATGATTTTATTTAGGGTTATTCTGCCCAAGAATGATCTCTCCCTGAGTGATCTCAGTCAAGTCACATGCCTGAAGGTAAAAATAGATGCTCATTTCAAAATCTGCTACAACTAAATACATATCATATATAACAAAGCTTTGGAGGAATACAAAAAAAAATGTTACTCCCTTTTGTTTTGTCTTGCCTAATGTAGGTTCCTTTGCTCACATAGAAGGAAATATCCCATCTCCATTTTTGAGTTACTGAATCTTCTTGCCAGAATTCTACCATCCACCTCACACCTGCACACCTGTACCTGTGCACCTCCTCCTCCTGTCCAATTTCCCTCACACCCAAGAAGCAGATCCAGTCTCTGGTTACAGATGTGGAGACAGTATCTATAAATACTTTCCACATTTTCTCCTTTCTTCAATACACAAAACACAGTATGGCTCTGGAGACAGAGAAGCTGCCCTTTCTCTGGCGTTTTTATGAGTTAGCAATTGCCATTGAGGAGTGCTTTAAAATCTAGCCAGCTTGCTTTGGATGAGGAAGGGAGATACTTCACCAAGATGAGATATGACTGCATTTCTAGAACTTAGTAAGCCATTTTCCCTTTTCCTTTATCTAGTATTCCTTACATTCACTTCAGAAACTAAGAGAGTAAATGATTTTAGGAAACTGACAGCAAAAATACGCCTTCGGCTCCTTACACCTCTGTTACATAAAGTAGCACAAAAATGAATTCTACCCACCATTCATACACACATTTCACTGTGCTCATCCAAAGTTCTCAAAATCACCCATTTATAAAAACTGCTCAATCATCCCCAAAAACTTATATTGTGGCTTCTACTGCAATAAGTTCTTCCTCTCCCCCATAATCCTATCACATTTGTATTTCAGCACATGAAAGAAAAAAATGAGTATCCTTTCTTCTATGGTTAATACGTTTGTCATCCTCAAGTCTCAATTAAAGTCCTCAGTCCTGGAATCACTTCCTAATAGATGGCTTTCTTATTTCGTTGTCCACCACATTCAATGCCACCTACATTTAGCTCCACTATACAGGCAAGTTGACATGTCAAATCCTGTTGTACCTTCACCTTATTCACTAATTAAAATATGCTAATTCTGAGGTAAAAGATCTTGCCTCCCACATTAGGATTTGTAGGTAAAGATAATGTTTAAGTGCACATCATCAAAAAAAAAAAGAACAAATTCAATTCGCTATCATGAGGCCTACTTAAATTGTGTTCTTGTCACTCTGAAAGTGCTTTCCACAGGCTAAACTAAAAGCTGATATTCAAAGAGAAATGTATGCTTGTTTAGGACTTTGAAAAGTTACGACATGTTTAAAACTTTCTGGCAAATACAGCTTTTTTCATTTTCTCTACTTTTTAAAGAACAGTGTATTTATTTTTCTTTTGAAAGACTGGGTGATAAAGGAGAAAGAGAGAAATGTGTGTGTCTTCCATTAGCAGTTTCACTCCCCGGTGGCTACAACAGCTAGGTCTGGATGAGGCTACACCCAGGGGTCCAGATCTACCAAGATCTCCCATGTGAGTGGCAAGGACTCAACTGTGGGATCGGTCCTCTGTTAGTCCTCAAACACATTAACATGCAACTGGGTCAGCTAGAGCACCAAGATTTGAACCAACATTCAGATATGGGAGGAGAATGTCCCACAGAGTACGGCATGATCTGAACCAGCATTCTGACATGGGGAAAAGTGTCCCAAGGCATGTTTAACTCCTGCATCACAATACCTGATTATTTTTCTGCTTTTTTTATGGCCCTAATAGAACAGTAGTCACTCTGAAAGAAAATTCGTGTCATTGGAGCTTGGAATCATGTTAAGTAGTGTGTGTGTGTGTGTGTGTGTGTGTGTGTGTGTGTGTGTGTCTACAACCATGTATGATTTCAACTGTAAACCTAATGAGCAATGTAATTTAGAATCATATTTCTAAAAACGTTCTGGTAGTATACAAAAGTCTATAGAAAATAATTCATGTGGGAAAAAAACTAGTAAAGTTCAATTTTGCACACATATCACTAAAGTATTACAAATTTTAGATGTGGCTGCAGCACCCAACAGCATATGCATACACACACACACACCAGAACCAGGGAGGGAGAGGGCAAAGCTGGCAGGGGGAATGTGGGTTCCCCTGCTGGACAACCACTCCCATTGCAGAACTGAGTTGGGATAAGGGCAGACCAGACCTGGTAGGGCTACAACACCTGTGGCCTCATGTGAGCTAGAGAAGGGAATGGCCAGGGTGGGCTGACTGTTCCAACCAATGCAAGCAAAAATTAGAGTGGGTGAGGGATGGTTGGGCTTAGGTACAGCATCAGCTGACAAAGGTTGGCACTGGGAGCTAATTCTGTCAAGTCCAATGCCAGAACCATCTGGAGAGTGCATAATCTGGGAGTGGGAGTGGCCTGGGAGGGAAATATGAGCTGCTCCCTCTTGGGTTACCACTCCCACTGGAGAGCAGGAAAACCAGGACAAGGGCAGAGATGGCTAGACAGAAAGGCACAGGCCAGTATGTGTGTGGGCTGGATAGTAGGTTGATTGGGTTGAACTAGGCTTCAATGCCCACTGACATGTACCAGAGCTAAATGGAATGTGGGACAGACTGAAAAAGCCTGTGGTACATACTGGCAAGCATGGGAACCATGGTAGGGGGCAGGCCTGGTGGGGGTTATGGGGAGTTGCCCCAACTAGACTGCAGCTCCTACTGGTTTACATGAGGGTTGAGTATGAAGTGGGCAGAATCGGGCTGGACTATAACACCCATCAGTTCGCATGGAAGACAGGGCTGGAAACAGAACTGACCCTGCAGTTGCAATGTCCAGCATGTGCGTAAGCTGATTGGGACGATGGACTGTGCCAAACCCTGGACTGGCAAGCATACACAAGAGTCAGGTCTGGAATCACCTCAGATGAAGGTTTTTTGGAGATCCCGCCAACTCAACTCTTGACCTCAGAATTCCAATCATGAAGAAACTGTCAGCCAGTGAATTCTGAATATATTTCATTGAGCTTGGAATGGCAAAATTGGCAGCAACTCAGAAATGTTAAACTATCAAAACTGTTTGAGCAGAACTCTCAGAGCATGTCACACATCAGGGACCTGGGATGGGTGGGAAACTGGGTGGGGCTTCTCCCTTTGTTTTTCCCCTGACCCCAGATACGAGGGGTGGGGGGGGTGATGATATTAGTGTGGAAAACACAAGGAATAAATCTTAAATTTAAAAATTAAAAAAAATAAGAAAGTATTGCAAATTTTATCTTCATTCCTAAAGATGCAGGAAAGAGCTCAATAGCAGCTATCATATTTCTTAAACTTTCAACATGAACTGATGGATCATTGGGTTTTATCAGTTGGAACTGATAGTTCAGACAGTTTTTTTCAATTTCTTGATGTCTTAGGGGAAAAAATGTACAACTTAGCAAAAATCAGCAGCTGTGCATTCTTTACACGCTCCCCTCTCTGGTGTTACATGGAGTACACAGCTCCAGTAACACAGTCATGATCACGTATGTGAGCAAACCCCTGATCTAGCTTTCTTCTGCAATTCTATAGACCTTACATAAACTATCACAGACTTATACTTATGAAAATGAATACTAAAGATGATTAGCTCTTGAAATAATCTCCAAAAGGAAGATTATGTATCTTTCACCAGATGTGATAGAAAATAGAAATAATTTCAGGGCCCCAAGGCTCTTGCCCATCTAGTCACACCATTTGTTAATTTTATAGTGTTCCTGCATCCCTGAAATACACTCCTGGATTTCAAATAACATCTAACACAAGCACAGCCCACAAACCCATTTACCTAGATCCTCTTTTCTAACCACATATATTCAACCTCAAAGAAATGATTTTCTTATTGGAAAGGCAGACCAGATTTACCATGATAAAGAGTCACAGTTTTCATCTGCAGTTTTACTCCCCAGATGGCTGCAGTGGCTGAGCTGAGCCAACGCAAGGCCAGGAGCTAGGAGGCCCTTCAGAGTTTCCCATAAGGAGCAGTGTCCCAACGCATCGTGCCATCCTGTACTGCTTTTCCCTGGCCATAAGCAGAGGGGTAGATGGGAAGTGAAGCTGCCAGGACATGAACTGGAGCCCATATGGGATCCTGATGCTTCCAACGTGAGGATTTAGCCATTGAGCCATCACATCTGGCCCAAAGAAGTGGTTTTCTACACTGGATTTTTCTCATCTCCACAGATCGTTTTACAATCACACTCACTACCACATTCTTGGTTGTCTTTCTGGGAAACCTCAGGGGAATTCCCTATGTATTGACTTGGATCATGCACTAAGACATTATCTCAGGAATCAGGGGTCTGAGAAGAGAAGCTGCACATGATACTGGTCTCAGGATCAAGACTGAATAATAATATTGTCGCCTTAAACAAAGGTGATGGTTTCACTCTATTTTGCTGCCAATACATTCAGGCTCATCTTCCTTCCACAGCACTGGAAACAGAGAGGTAATTGGACACATCTCTATCCATGGTTCTCAATGACAAGTTATTTTACCCTCTTGGAAATGTTTGGGAAGTTCTGGGACATTTTCAATTGTCATAACTTTGGAAAAGATGTGGTGGGTTCTAAGGACACCAAGTGTTGGAAACCAGGAAGTTGTTCACCCTATAAAACATAAAACAGTCCCCAACAACAAACAGATACCATATCCCAAAAGGTAAGTGGTGCTGAACTACACAAGCCCTGGTTGATAGCTATGTATCTAGAAATACATTTATGTACCTGTGAATGTCTGATGCAAACAGAC